TATTTCTGCTGAAAAAGCGTATTTATTTTTGCTTTTTACTACCTCATATTTGTTTGATAACAACAAAAAAAAGAGCTTTGAAAGACGTAAAGTCATTATTGACTGCTACGAAATAATATTTGTCACATGTAATGACTATCAGAAAAAAAAGCTGCAGTTATTACCGCTTATTCTTTTCAGCATCAAAAATAAAGCTCTATAAAATTTGAACAGAGGTATTTGACGAAAAAAGAATTACAGATTGAAGAGTAAAATATATGTTGTAAGTTATACGAACACATTTTCTTCTTAAACATTGAATTAGTTTAGGACATTATGTTTTATAAAAATAGATTTGTTTGAAGAAAAAAAATTTCTTCGCGCATTTTTAGTTTTAAACCGTAATGTAAAATTTATCATAAAAGTTCTTTTTTTTTATTACAGATGAAAAACTTTAACCAAAGCAATGAAAAGCGGTAAATGTGTGAAAATTTTGAGTAAATCAGAAGACGGAAGTTGGCAACCGAATAGAAACGTGCTTGACCAACTATTTTTGTCTAAAGAAATTGAAGACAAAAAAGTAAAGATCTCTCATTTGTTCTAATGCATTTAGTCAGTTCAATGATCAGTTGGTTACTTAGTCTCGTAAATCAGTTTGAACTCGCAGAAAGAATACTAACTTTAAAATTGCCGAGGAAAAAGCTTGTCAGAGTATTTCTAAAGCTGTAATTTTGCAATAGCGTTATACTGTCATCTGAAGGTTGTGGTGCTGAGTATCACCGGTCCTGCGCGCACTGGAAAAAGCTTCTTACTAAATTTTTTTCTTCGATATTTAAACGCAACTGATGACGATCGTTTAAACGGCAAATGGCTTGAATCCAGTCTTACTTCAGGATTTAAATGGCGAGGAGGTTTTAAAAAAATTTCTGCTTGAATTTTTTTCGTTTGTTAGGCATTAAAAAACAGATTTTTTTTGATGTTACAATAAAAAAAATTTAAGTAAAAATAATTAGAAAAACTAATTTTAGGATGCAGCAGAGAGACTACAGGTTTGAATGTTTGGTCAGAACCATTTTTTTTGAATAAGAGTGGCGAAACCGTTGCGATTTTTTTGATGGACACTGAAGGATTTTTTGATGCCGATTCAACCTGGGAAGACTGTGCGAAGATCTTTGCATTCTCAAATTTGCTGTCATCTGTCCATGTAAGCAGCTTCTTGACAGTTTTTAATATACAGCAACAAAAGTATTCTTTAAAGAATCGCTAAAATGGAACATCGACAATTTCGCAGAAAACATAAGCTATTATGTGGGGTTAATTGAAGTAATCTGATTCGATCGCTGTACACCATTTTAAACTACCATGTAGATTTTTTATAAAACATACGTTAAAATTTTGTTCTCTGTTTAGGTATTTAATCTTGTCAGAAATTTACAACTGGATTTTCTAAAACAAGTAGAAATCTTTGGAACATATGGAGGTTACGCCAGGAGGTCTTCACAAGAAAAACCATTCCAGGTTTATAAAAAAGCATTTTAAAGATGTGAGCAACTTTAAAACAATGACTACTAATTTCAAAAAAACTTTTTTTAGGACTTAATATACTTGATTCGTGATTGGCCTTCTAAAAAACAGCACAGCTACGGAATTGACGGCGGAAGAAAGTATTTATGCAGATTTACTAAGGTATTTGTTTCTGCTTCTTGCAAGTAGTACTGTATTATTGTATAAGTTAAAGTTGTTAGAAAAGAGACAAAAAATCTTTGAAGTTGATCAGCTAAAGTTGTTCACTTTTCCTTATCTAGTTTATTGAGCAAGCCTTAAAAATTTCGCTTATTCTAAACAGTTTTTACTGAAATTGCAATGTTGTACAGGACGGATCAACAGAGATTCAAGAGATTTGCAAAAGTATAGAGAACGCTTTCCAAACAACTTCTTGTTTCCTTATGCCGCACCCTGGATTAGAAGTCGCTGAAACGTTTGAACCTTCGGATAACATAGGTATCTCATCAAGTTTGCCTCTCTTTGTATAAATTCAGTTGACTTTACTCTTTTTATTCTTTACAGAGATTAGAGACGAATTTCTGAAACAGGTCAATACGTTTATCAAGTATTTATTGTCTGAAGATAACCTGACAGTGAAAAAGATAGGCGGTCGTGAAATAACTTGTCAAGATCTACCAAAAGTGCTAACCGTAAGTTTGACAGTTCCCTAAAGACTTTCATGCTAAACAGTTTTTTCGCTTTATGAGAGACAAACACACGATGAACTTTGTTAGAACGCTTTCGTATAATTAGCATTTGCTAGGAATACACCGAATTATTTGAAAAGAGCAATGTTCCAGCACCGAATGAACTATTTAAGGTAAGTGACAACAAATTTTTCTTTCCTTCTGAAGAAAAAAACGCTGATAATATGATTTTTTAAAGTTTATTGGAGATGTGTCGTTCGAAAATGTTATTCGTGAATGCAATGATTTCTATAACCGGAAAATGAATGAGGTATTCTTTTTTTTTAAGCTTTCATTCTTTATAAAAAAGTTTCGTTTCTGAGACTTTATGTAAGAAATCTGCGATAGAAAAAAAATTAAATTGGAGAATATAGACTGCAAAATGTTCCTCAATTTGTTAAAGTTTGCTTGCGTAACTATTCTGCAAAAAGATTTGTATTTATCATTCTTTTGACATTCTGCTTACTCTTTACAGCTTCTCTTTTTTGCTGATGCTTTTCGGTTTTTAAAACATCTTTCCTTTTTTGCAAAAGCTTCAGCAAATATTATGCAGAACGAAGGTACCTAATATTACAAAAACAGTCCAAAAGAAAATTATCATATGTTGCAAAAAATTCTACAGATTCTTGTCTTTGTGTTTTTTTAGCTTGAGGTTTCTTGATTATATCATATTTGGTATTTGATTTATTGTTGAGATGATATGGTTAGCGAACTGTTTCTAAAATCAGGTTTTGCAGTTTAGTACGCAATTTTGGCGTGATGTTAAAAAATCAACTCATCCTTCTTAACAACCCCAGTTTTATGCATATTTCAGAAATTCTTAGTTCAAAAAAAAAATCTGCTTTCTTTATTTCTAGTCTTTTACAGTTTCGCATGGTACACCCATTCTTTAAATCGGTTTTTGTTTGTGTTCATCCGCGAAATGTCGCAAAAATTTTTTATTTTTGCTGACTATTAAATCTTCCCTTAATAAGGTAGTCTATAGTTTGTGCATCTCTCAATAAAGGAGAAAGAGCTTACTGATAAGAGAATTTCACATGACGTGGAAGGGCAACCTTAGCATTCTGGCAAATTAATTAAGAAACCGGAATAAATTTATGAGTAACTGTTAAATTTCAGTTTTTTACGGCACGCGGTCTTCAGAATGGTAGTGCAGACTTGGAGCAGCTGTATAACCTGGTAAATTCAGCATATTCTTCTGTACATTTTCTGTTGCCTTTAGTTTCAGCCATTGTAGTGATAAAAATTCAAAAAATGTGACACTTTTTCTCACACAACACGGTACATTTTTATTGCAGCATTCAAAGCTTTTTGACGAGAGTATTGCTGCTGCCAAGTTAGAAAGATTATATAACAGTGTAAAACCTGACGTGCTAGAAAGATTCAAAACAATGGTTGAAGGAAAAAGCTCTGAAGCTTCTCAAACCTTTCTTGAAGAATTAAAAAAAAATATTGAGGTTTTTTACAACTGTTTTTTTTCAAAACCTTTCAATAAAACTCTGACAAACCTCAAAAGTTTTGCAAAGTACTGTTATGGAAAAGTCATTTTTATATTATAAACATTGAAGTTTTAGAATGATTTTGACAAGATGAAAGGCTGCATAGAGGAAAGCACTAGAAATTTGGAAAAAGTAGTGAAGGTTTTAGATGAAAGTCAACAGCGTTACGTGGAAGAAATAGAAATGGTAATTCTACTCTTACTCGGACGTAAACGTGTTGCCAGTTGAATTCTTATAGCTTTTTTAAAAAATGTGCAAATAGACAAATTCACCTCCTTCTGTTTTTTGAATTTCATTTCAGGAGCTGATTGAATGTGGGTTACGAAGTGAACTTGCCGACTTAGGACAGCTCTACGACATGGTAGAAATTTTGTTCCCGCTGACTCGTACAATCCAGTGCTGGTTTAAACAGCAGTCGGACAACCTTAAAAATTAACTTGATATTTTATTTCAGCATCAGAAAGCAAAAAAGAAAGATTTTATTGAAATAAAGAATTTACACAGCGAGAAAAAAATTGTAGTTGAAAAGAATTTTGATGACAGAGTTAGAGAAATTGCACGTGGTTCAACCGCAGCTTGGATCGCAGAACTTTCAGAGCGAATTGAGGTTTCGTTACAGTGTTTGTAAAGGTTTTGTGGATGTTGTGGATATACAGAAAAAAAGGAAGTACAAATGAACGATATTGACAAATAGTTCACTTTTTTATTAATTCCGTGACTTTCACGGTCAGTGAAAACTCAAGAATATACTTTATTAAAAATTTTTATCTACCAGCATCGATCTATACTAAAAACGCAGTTGAAGACAGTTTTTCTAAATCTATGATTTACGTTCTCATTGTTACAGAGTAACTATTCTAAAATTGAAACCAATCTCCGTCGTAATCGACTGCAACTTTTAAAAATCCTCGATGTCCTTGAAAGATGTGAGACAGAACTCAAGACGAAATTTCAGCAAGTAATTTTTTCTCATTAAAACAAAATGGAAATTGTTTAAGTAACAGATTTAGTAAACTACTGACTTTATAAAATGAATAGCTTAGTCTGCGTTTTCACTTTTTTGGTTTATACAAAACTCAGAGCGCATTAAAGTGATGCAGACCAATTTTAAAGCTGGATTTCAGTTTATAGATTCTAAGCGCTGGAACAACATCTCTGTTAACGACCTGAGGGAGGAATATAATCGTCTGTGCGAAAAAACGTTGAAATCGTTCAAAGACGATCTGAAAAAAATTGCTAAGGGTTCGCCAGAAAAATGGACAACCTATATGAAAGGAAGACTTACCGTTAGAAAATTCCTGTTAAAGTCGATCATAACCAAATTCTAACTCAAATATTTTAAAACTTTAAATAACAGAATATAAACTGTAAATCATCGGTACTTAATCCATCTAGGAAGTGCGTAATGCAGAGTTTGGTAATAAGAAACGTTTTGATAACGCGTTTTATGGGTTTTAGAAGGTTTGTGAAGGAGCTACCGAGGGTGCCAGAAAAGTGAAAAAAAGACGGCAATATCGTTTACTGAAATTAACTGGTGCCACTGCTTGTGGGGCAGTTGGAGTAGGGTTGCTATTCGTGCCCTTCTCTCCTGTTATTGTGGCTGCTGGAATAGCAGCGTTTGCTGGTGAGACTGGTTTGGTTGCATCAGCTTTTCGAGACCGGAAAAAGGCGTGAGTATTACATTTTTGGATCTATATACTGTCATCGGCTTTGTGTAATGCTTACATTATTATTTGGTTGCGAAATTGAGATGATTTTTATCGTAAGTCAGTAATTGTTCTATTTTCAGCGTTCGCATAAAGCGAGAAATAAAAATAGAAACCGTCGACAAGCGATAAGAGTTGGGAAGTTATTAACAACAGGAAAAGTGTAGAGCAATTGGACATCTCTGAAAGACAGGACGCAAAGAATTATTACAAATTAGTCTACACTCAGACGACCTCTTAATAATTTAGACGATTTTAAAAGTATGATTCTCTTTAACTACAGGAGAAATCAATCGGTTCTAGGACCTAGTAATGACGAGCAGACTGCAGCAAGCAAAATAAATAGATTTCATTCATTCTCTAAATTTTTTCTCGGCATTTGCTATTTTCATTTCTTCTCATTTTTCTTCTAGATTCTTGAAGTGTCTATGCAGTTTGTTTATATCTTTTATGGTGCCGATAACGCTAAAAATTTGCTTGAGAATTTCATAAAATTATAATTTTTATATTTATTCTAGTGCTTATTGGCAATGGTAGCTTTTCTTTGGTTGGTAGATTCAAAGTTGTAATTTTAAGCTGCTTTTGTTAGATTAAACATGACAGAAGCAAAGGAAAACTTTACATTTCTAAGCTGTCTGCTGCCAGTTGGCGAAGACTTTGCTGCACTGAAAGGTCAACGAATAAATTTGATTTTGTTACTGAAATTTTTTACCTTATAATTCCGAAAATTATTTTTTAGTAAATTAGAGTCTGTACTCTTCTTGGTAGGCAAAGGCAGCTGGAGGGATTACAACTTTCAATTATTAGCCTAAATGAAACTCTTCTTTTACTAATATGTAACTTTTAATTCTTTGAATCTCGTGTGATGGCAGCAACGTGCTGCTGCTGTATTAAATAAAGAACGTTGTCGCTCATTTATACGACATGTATAGTATATTTGTGTAAAAAGCGGCTTTTATTTTGTTAACTCGGTAGCTAATTCTCTTTTTTTGCGTAAATTTTTTGTGCTTGAGAAGTTCCTCAAAGGAGGGTGGAGTTTCTGAAATTGGATTGGTTAAATTAGATATTTTTTTGTAATTTTAGTTTCATTAGCTTTCGAGTATATTACGCACGGCTCAAAAATAAAGTTATGCGATGAAAACTTTAATTTAGGCAACTAAAGTATGTCTTTAAAAAATGCTTTTCTAACACTGCTTTTTTGCAAGTTTTGAGGAAGGATTTTTAAACCTCAATAACAAATGATTCGATTTCTTTCAAGCTGCTGTTCTGTGTTTAGATAAGTAAATGGCGGCAAACTTTTTAAAAGATTCAGGAACTAATTTCTGAAAACTATTTGCAGGAGATTTTTTTATACAATCAAAAAAATTATTTCTCTTATTTGCAGATTTGTTTCTATTTCTTCAGAAATTTCTGTCCTGATTGCTATGAGTAATTACAAACGTAAGCTAAAGGTTGGAATAGCGGGATAATTTCCATCTTTGACTCTTTTGTTTTGACTGCTCAAGAAAACCAGGAGATTACCACGGTTACTGACGGTGTATTTGTCAATAAGTACGGAACAGGTAAACAAGCATTCTTAAAAAAATGCCCAATTTATTTAGCGAAAAGGGCTGGCCTATATATTTTAGTTGATGCACGTATCTTAAAAGACTTGAGTGAATCCTTTTCTGAAAAATAAAGCAGCAATATAAAAAAGGCAAGTTTTACTTTTTTAAACAAAAAACCGTCAAACGAGAACGAAGAAACATGTTTTACTCCGTAGCAGCGGAGCGGTCCTCAAGCTGAATAATAAAATAAATTAGCACTGCTAGCGTATTGACAAAGAGCTCCGAGATTGCTCGACGATTCTCAGCAGGCTGGATAGCGAATACCATTCGACGAAAACTTTTTGAACATTTGGTTTTGAAGTCAAACTGCAGTGGTGAATTTGAGTTTGCGTGAATACAACCTATCGCCGCGTTCGGTACCCTTGCCGTTTAAAGCTGTTCAGGCATGCCGAAGTTTTTGCTTTATAACTCAAAAAAAAAAAAAAAAAAAAAAAAAAAAAAAAAAA